TTAATGAAAAATGTTGATTTTCTTTATGAAAATCAAATTGTCCAAAGGAAATGTAGCTTTATTCATAATGTCTAGTCAATTTAATAAATTAATCAATATTTATCAAACTTTGCACCAATTTTAGTCATTATTCATAATGCCCTATTAATCACTTGGTCTGTAACATACACACTCATTTTTGTAAATGAAGTTCTCTGTCAATGGTTTGTTTTCAGTTGCAAAGAACAACACTGAACTTTTCCAGGGTGCAAGAAACATTTCAGATCCTAAAGATTTTTTCCAGGTTTAGTTTCTAGACATGGTCATTTTCCAAGGCCAGTAAGATTACCCAATTTGACAGCACCAAACTTTAGAAAAAAGCTTGAATCTGTCAAATCAGGTAACTGAAGGAAATGTATCTAAATAAGCCAGTTTTCAAAATTAAAGAACAATATTTGACATGAAATTAAAACATAATACCAGAAATAGTGTTGTTTCAATTTCATGTTGAATATTATTCTTTAATTTTTCAAAATAATGGAAAATGCTATAAAAAGAGCCCAATTTTGTATTAATGTTCAAGGTGCACATTTGTCAGTTATCAAATATCAAAATTTATCAGTTTAAAATAAAATATATGGTAATTTTAAAAAATGAAGTATTATTTTGTGCCATAATTAACAGTATGACACACAATAAATGTAAAAGTACACAGTAACAATGATGATTCAACTTTNTCTTTATAAGTTAAATCTTCAACAACAATGAATCTAACTTTCTGACAATGAACTGTGTATATTCTAACAATGTATAAACCAATAAGGTTTCAGTTTCCAAAAAATACAGCTATTTTCAAATATTTTATCATATTAAAATATAGAAAAAGTAAGAGTATTGTATCATAGAATATTTCAAAAAATATTATCTCTATATAAAATTTGAAGTATATTTCATATATGCTTCTAAAAACTAGTTTTGATCCATGATAATTGTTTGATATCAAGAACAGTTAACAAGAATTATGTATACCAAAGAGCTATTACTAATATATATTGATGAACAGGTTGACATAGAGTTAAGAACTATAATAAATGAGTGATAGAACTGACTGATATCCCAAGTTACAATTGTAGAAAATTTTAAAAAGTATATTATTATAATTACCTAAAAGATTTGCATTACTAAAAAATTTTACTTTATAATATCCAATGTGCACAAATAGACTCATATAACAAACAAATGCAATATGGGGCAAACCTTCAACATAAACTATAAAATACAAACTGATAGAAGAAAATTATTATTCAATGAAAATAATAATTTTCAATGCAAAAACAAAAATGCTTAATAGAAAACTTTCTAACAGGATTTATTATTTAATTTGAGATGGATGGATTAGATCAGAATGTTTAACTTGAAATTTTTTGAAAGTTAAAATTTCTATATTCATTTTATGTTTTACATAAAGTACTTTCAAATTAATAAACTAATTTAAAATAAAAATGATCAGCACAAGATTCCAAATCAACTGTAAAGAAAATCACAAAAATCTAGAGAATAAATTTATAAATATTTAAGAAAAAACTAATACAGACTAAGCTGAAATTCTCGCATCATGTTTATATTCTATCAGACAGACCTATTACTAACAGTATTTCTGTATCAGTATTAACATTAACATGAAATTCAAAATATATGTAAAGTTTAACTTTCCATTTACTCCTGAGGCAGAACTATCATTTATTATGAAATAAAGTTGTTCTTAACCACTCTGCACTGATTGACAGATATACCCATCAAGGGCGATCACATGGCACTGGTGAACGACATCTATATCCACAAAAAAATTTTGTGGATATTGCCAAAAACTAGCCAAAAATTACTGCAAAAAAAAAAAAATGCCANTTATTCAATTTAAAGTAAGCTTAATTGTATCATGCCTCCTATAAAGATATGTTTTACTTTTTTAATCACTATAATCCAGTAAATATACTAAAAGTAGATGTAATATTTAAGAAAAAACTAATCAGATTTAGCTGTTAATTGTATCATGCCTCCTATAAAGATATGTTTTACTTTTTTAATCACTATAATCCAGTAAATATACTAAAAGTAGATGAAATATTTAAGAAAAAACTAATACAGACTAAGCTGAAATTCTCGCATCATGTTTATATTCTATCAGACAGACCTATTACTAACAGTATTTCTGTATCAGTATTAACATTAACATGAAATTCAAAATATATGTAAAGTTTAACTTTCCATTTACTCCTGAGGCAGAACTATCATTTATTATGAAATAAAGTTGTTCTTAACCACTCTGCACTGATTGACAGATATACCCATCAAGGGCGATCACATGGCACTGGTGAACGACATCTATATCCACAAAAAAATTTTGTGGATATTGCCAAAAACTAGCCAAAAATTACTGCAAAAAAAAAAAAATCGCATAAAAAAGAAATTATGTGACAATAAAGAAAGATTTTTCTTTACTAGACATAACTGTTTAAAAAATTTTTTCGAAACAGAAACAAGAAAAACGTGTGGGAAAATTCTTAAAAAATTTCCCACGTTTATTCTCCACTACATCGTGATAGTGCCATATCTGACTAGCCCTCTCTACAAAGGCTAAGACACTTTAATATGGAATGTACACAAATTTACTTTTAGCTAAAAATTGTAAAAGTGATTCAAGAAATAAAAACTAAACAGAAAATATGAAATACTGCCAATGCTAGAAAGCAGAAAACTCATTTAATTTCCAAAAAGAAATAATTTAATTTCAATTTTTGATGATTGGAAATTTTTGGGTTTCTGATGTTCAGATTAAAAAAACATTCAATTGCTTATTTCCACTAGGAATTTTCCAGGCAGAATAAATTAAGGAATATTGAATTTGGCAACAAAATATGAAGCCAATTTTTTATGAAAATTCAACTTTATATGATTTTAAGAATTTTATTTATATTAACATCTTAGTTTACATAAACATGATGAGTTGTTCAAAATCAAAGTGCTATAAATCACTTTTTCATCTCTATTGAGAAATTTAGACCTAAAGTTAAATACTGATTTATAAATTACTATGGATTTACTGTTAAGTGTTTTTACCTGTGGGTAACATAATATTCATATTTCTTTACAACAAATATGTAAATAATGTTGTCAGGAACTGAAACTCAGCAGCAATGTAGTTTTTTTTTAGAAAAACTGATTTATACCACTTTCACTTTCAACATGTCATATAATTATTAAAGAATTTTTCAATATATTTTGCTTCATATATTATGAATATTAAATAATTTTTTGTTTCTTACTGAAGAACAAATTCATGTAATTGATATGCCTAATATGTCTGACTTCATATAAAAATAACATTATAAAGCCATTAAAGAAAGAATATTAACAGCAAAAAATTATTAGCATGCTAATTCTACTGATTTTGTAAAAAATTTCTATATTGATATTTATGAAAAGTAATATTAATGATTTTACAAAGATTTTTCTTAAAAACATTTAATAGCTCAATTACACAAATTTGTTGTTCAAAAACAAAAAATGATGTCTGAAATTAACAGAATTTTTGGTTTTGAAATGACTATTAAAAAATTTTGGTGGTTTTATTTTTCTTTTTGCAACTGTATCTTATATAAACGTTTTCAAAATTTCATAATTTTTAGTTGTGAAGTACAGGGTGTCCCATGTAAAATCAACCACACTCCACAACTGAATAAGAACTACTTTAAACAGTAAAGCATTAGCTACACAAGTTTGCATAATGTTTTATAAATAAATTAAGTTTTCAAAGTTTCTTTATCTAATTTTATTTTCTCTCATTTGTTCCTTTTTCAAATATGAATATTATAATGATTTACTCAATCAGTGAGTGAGGTTAGTTTTATCTGGGGCACACATTTATTAATAAATACTATTAACTTTAAACAAGCATAAAAACAATGGTTATCAATTACAAAAATATTCCTATATGAATTTTTACAAAATTAAAAAAAAAAGGATTTTAAGAAATTTATAGAAATAAAATGTAATATAGTTGAAATCAAAAACTCGAACATTATTTTTATAATTAAATATGGTTTCTTAAATTTTCATTTATTTTTCATTCTTTAAGACATATTTAAAATTTGATTTAATATAGAATAAACAAAAAGTTGAATATTGCATAATCATGTTAATAAAATTACTACTACATTGTTAAATAAAAAGTAGCAAATAAAAATTCCACTAGTCACAATCATTAAAAACTCAACAAAATTCTGTAAATTCAATAAAACTTCAGTAAACAAAAGAGTAGGAGTAATTTTATAAATTTTACTGAAACTCTTCATTTATTCTATATTGAAAATATATAATGGATTTTTCTCTTCAGCAACTATTCAGAACATTCAAAAACATTCAGAAAAACTGCCAGACAGCAGCTAAATAAGAATACAATAAAGAAATATTCCCAATAAAAGATGCAATCAATAGCAGTCTCTTCTAACATAATAGATTTATAATACTAGACTTTTTCCATGAGATTTTTAGTACACACCATTAGCATCATTTCTGCCTACTAATGGCTTGTTTGATATACATTAAAGCTGGATAATATATATACAAATAAGAAATAAAGTTTTAACTCAACTAAAAAACAATAAATCATAAAAATGCAAACTGGATTTGAATCTATATCTATTTGTATAATAGGATAATTCCTTATTGCATGATCATCCATAAGACCAATAATTTTATGTACTTTTCATAAAACAAAAAGAAATGAAATTAGATATCTTACTAGAAAAACAATTTCTCCATTAGCAAATTTCCAAATATGGCTTAAATTCAATATTTTTCAGCATAATAATGATATGAAATTTTGAGTAGACCAAGAAATAAAAATAATATTACATGTAAAATATATGAGGAAAACATATTGTCAAAGAATATAATTATCAATTTATGCAAAAAGTGATATTTTCAAAATTTGAACGTTTTAAAATATAAATTTTTTCCTTAAATACTATTATCTAGCTATGAAAATTACATTATATTAGTTTGCAACAACAAATAAATAAAATAAAAAATTAAGTTACATAAAATGATTTTCATTGATGAACAGAGTTGCATTTCCCAAATGAATATAAAGCACCAAGAATTTCAGAATCTGTCTTCATTGTATTAAAAGCAGTTAGGAAAGCTTTTACTGCAGGAAAATAAGTTTCATCTTTTTTCATCTTCTCACATATGTTGCCATACATTATATCAAGCTGCTGTTTCAAATATTCATAATGCTGAAAAATATTTATAAGTGCAACTTGATATAAATATATTTTTAAAAAGTAATTATTATCTTAAAGATTCATTGCCCTATTGTAAGCAATGTAAACTGCATATTACTTTGAAAAATTTGACTAACTTACCCTTGTCATTTCAGTAACAGCAACAGGAGGATTGTAAGGACTATGAATGCTATCACTAACTCCATCATCGTTAGTTGTGTTATCTATTGATTGATCCATTTCCTATAATAATTGATTATTTAAAAAATAAATTAATATTACATTGCATAAATACTTTAATCTTATTGCAAAATTGAAATTTTAATAACAACTATACAGGAATACTACATACAAATAATTATCAATTTTCTAATTGAAATTCACACTGTTTTAAGATTTTATAATAATACTAGATGATGTATCCAGCTTCACTCAGGAAAATGATATACTAGGTAAAGGTAATATACTCATATAAAAATGTATACATGGAAAAAAAATATGTACTTATACTAAACTTATTATATAATAGATCTGACCAAAAACAATTTTACATCAAATGGAATTCTAGGAACTCACTGACAATCTGACACAGATGAAAATGGCAATGGTAATATACTCAACACACACTTTGCTGAAATAAAAGTCTTATCAGCTTTCATTGATGTCCACTTTTGCTTGTTAATGACCACAAAACTAGCCTATTGCATTCAAATTTTATGGCTCACTTCACACCCACTGGTGTGAAGTAAGCCATACCCACTTTACACCCACTTCACTTCACACCAGGCAAAACTTTCTGTTCTTGTGAAAGATCCAATAAGAACTAGGTATGAACTACTTACTCTTGCAAATCATCTATATATATAAAAATGAATGTATGTCTGCTGTATGTCCCTTCATGCATTACTACACCATTTATCTGATTGCCATGAAACTTTGGGAAGTTGTTTAATACACTTCTGAGAAGGTTTCTGGCATAGAACATTTATGCTATGATAGGTGGCACACGTGTATACAAGCATTTCATATATAAAGTTGACATGAAGAGCACATGCGCATAAGTTTGTTTTATTTGAACTCTTCGTCTTAATGTTCGATTTTATGTTTGAATTTATATTTATGAATTATTCTGGAAGATCCAGCTTATTTTTCGAATTTAATAAACCTGAAGAAGAACCCAGAAAGAGTTACAAAAATGTTTATTCATCAATTAGTGGTACTATGCACTGGTTAGTGGTTGCAGTGAGTCTTAATTATCCTTATCCCAGTGTGGTAAGCAAATATCTAAAAATTTTCTAATTAGTCTCAGAAGAGAAGGGACATTCTTGCACTTGATAAAACGGGTAAGATTGGCTATAATCTAATAATCTTAATCTTTGCTATCAATACTTTTTCCTGAGCAATGCAGGGCTCATCTGCTAGCAGCTTATAAAATTGAATGATTTTGGAAATGGAAAGTAGTGTATTTCATATAAAGTTTGATAGAATCAGTTCAGCTATTCTCATGTGATCATATGATACTCAAACAAACATTACTGTTTGTTTGAGTATCATATAACATCAGTAAACAGACAGTTGTGAATTCAATTTTATATATATAATATATACAGTAAAATCTTGTTATTTCAAAACTCAAACAACCAAAACACTACTTCAAATTATCCAAACTTTTTCCAAATCAAATTTTTTAGTACTTCTCAAATAAAATTATGACATTACCTTATATAATTTCACTTGTTCACTTACAAATGTGTCAATATTACAAGTTATTATTTAGTAATTTAAACTCGTTTGAAAAAACCATCATTGTATTTAATGAAAATAAAACAAAACTACATTCAAAGCAAGACTTAAATAAAGTACAAAAAAAGCTTAAGCACTTTAATAAGAATTACCCAGGAATTTTGTCTAGAGGACAAATGAATGACTAGTTCTATGAAGAATTCATCATCTTGAGTTTGAGAATACAAAAATCATGTGATCTGATGAAAATGAGCTTGATTAACTGCTAAAGTTATGTATGCACTCTATCATGAATATGCACATGTATTTAATCAACTTTGGAATTATTGAAACAATAGATTTTTGCAAAAAATATCCAAAATAATTACATGTCAAACAGATTTCTTTCATAAAAATAAAAAAAATTCTCTCTTCATTTGCAACATGTACAATGTTTAAATGAGTTAGAAAGGAGGTGCAATAAATCAGCACCCAGAAACCAGAATATAAAGTTTATATAAAGTTTTCATGCCCATATGGCAGTTTTGTTTTCGGTGGTAAAACCGAAAACAAAACTGCCACATGGGCATGAAAACTTTCCTTATACACATAATACGATGGAAGATTTCAAATTAAACGATACTTCTGCAGGTCACTGGACCAGGTAATGACTGAATTTCATTTTACATGTATTTTGAATTATCCATACTAAAATACAGTGGTGCCTCGTATGACATACTTAATCCGTTCCACATGCACGTCCGTTAAGTGAAAAGTCTGTTATAAGAAACACATTTTCCCATAGAAATACATGTTAAAACATATAATTTGTTCCGCAGCATAAAATAACTATACTGTACCATAAAAAAATGAAAATGGAGCAGTCACCAATTATGCCAGGTAGTCAGATGTTGTGAGGAGGAGGTGGAGGAACACTTTCTTCACACATTCATACAGATACAGACTTTTTAAATGTTGCAGCAGGTCTCTTTTTATTGTTTTTTAATCAAAGTCAGATTCAGGAGAGGCTACCAGAGCTTGCAGAGTCAACTCCTCTTGTTCCATCCTTTGTTTTTTGGCAGCTGGCTTCTTGAAAAACATGTCCAAGGTGGTCTGTTTCTCTCTTCTTCAACACCTGTCAGAAACAACAGTAAGGGTGTCATTGTAGAGATCATTGATCTTGGCCTGAGCTCTGTTTGGATAACGAGTGTTGGTAAACTCCTGAACCTCTCCCTATTTGACAAGGAAGTTTTTGTCAACTTTCACTCCTTCTGATGATGTCTTGCTTTGTTTCAATTGAAATCACCTTTCTGTTTTTTTAGAAGCCATGATTTGCACAACACTTGAATAAATGTAAATACCCTGAACTGAGGTGATGTACGTAATAAATAAGGGAGCAAGCAGATTCCCAACGGAAACTCTGTACTTCAGATATACTAATAATTAGTGTTGCAACGAATAGTACTGAATATTCGGCCAGGAGCGTGGCCAAATAGCTGAATATTCGGCCAAACTATTCAACTCGATTAACGCACGTATGAAAATTGGCTTACAAACCGCATTAAGGCAAGGACCCTGCTCTCTATTGGCCTGCTGTCACTATGCTTTGCCAATCGCATTAATTATTGACAGTTTAGCAGACAGACAAGAGTGTCATGGCAGTATGTGATAAATAATGATATCAAATGTGGATAACAATGAAATAACCTACACATGTAAATAACGGAAAAAGAACAGAGAAGGACCGCGAAGTGAAAATGTGAAAATAAATACGAAATTGAGTTGATAACATAATCGAACAAGTCGAGGCAGCTTATTGGCGTGAAATTCGTGGCTATCAATGCCAAACAATTGTTGTCATAGACTTCGGAAAGGTAAATGGTTGTAATGAAAGTCACTTAGCATGCATGGGAGAAAGCCTGGGACATTTGGGCTACTAAGCTGTCTCAAATCTGTGAAATCATAACTGTGACTTATACCGACGTCCTATCTGTCTCTTTTCTCTGTTATCACCAGGCTATGAGACACGTAATTGTAAAATGGGAAATCTACGACGGAAAAGTGATGAATCGAAAGTATCGTGAGCGCATATTATGCAATAGAGGAAAGAGAAAGGGAAGCGCAAATACAAGTGCTTAAAAAGAAGGATAGGCAAAGTCAGACCCTCAGATGTGCGACGATTGTCGAATGAATGGGTGTGTACGTCTGCTGATCTTTGTAATTATAAATTGTGAATACATGTGACTAATATTATTTTCTTTCTTATTTTGCACATGTTATAAGTTATAAATAAATATAAACAAACAACACTAACCCAATAACATTAAATCTAAATACCAAAATGATAAATTTACTGTTTTTTTGTTATTTCTTACTTTTGTTTTTAGGTATTCGATATTCGACTGAATAGTGATTAAATATTTGGTATTCGGCCAAATAGCGAAAAATAGGCCGAATAGGCCAAATACCAAATAGTAACCGAATATTCGTTACATCACTACTAATAATATATTCTAATAATACTAATATATTATAAAAATAGCAGATTGTCATTGGCAACGGCAAAAGAGTGGAAACAACATTTGCATTTGTTCGCAGAAAGTCCATTGTTCACCTCACGTAACTGCAGAACAGAAAGTCCGTTGTTCGCACCATCCATTATACAAGGCACCACTGTATATGCAAAATCCTATTCTATTGGCTGGGGACTAACTTCAAATTACATAATACTTCAAATGATCCTATATCGAAATAACAAAGTTTCAATGTACAGTATATAAATTTAATATTTTCTAATTTGTAAAAATTTAATAATTACTCATTGTTTAATTAAACTATAAAACTAAACAGCTATAATAATCATTGTGATTATAGATATAGCATTCATTTAAAATAAAAAAACCATGAAAAAATAAAATTATTATTTGTTTTCCCAAATAAAATGATTATAATTATACAAGATTTTATAAAAATTTGTAATTATGTTGTAGGACTGATTACATTATTATATCAGTCATAAAACATAATTTATCAGTCAGTTATCATCATCAGTACAAGTAAATTCCTAAGTAATTTCATTGCAATAAACAGATTCTATTATAAGTTTTGAACTAAAAATTAAAGTTAATGTGGATCATTTTATACTTACCTCACAATTGTTAACAGGCTGAAGCCACATATCTAAGAAAAATTCTTCTCCAGTTGCAATAGTATAAAATAAATGTCTCTGTTCAGGCATAAGCATTGGCACATGCAAACCTAAAATATTATATTTCTGAGCAACAGCAATCTGATGTTTGCATAAAGCCCCATTCTGACCAACATTACAGCTACAAATCCATAATTCTGTATCAACAGCATATGTATATCCCATTTTCCTATTATCTGGTATTTCAAATACAGATGGAGATATTTGAATTATATCATGTAAAGATGCAACATTTCTCAATTCTGATATTTTTGCAGCAATCAATGATGTTATTCTATTATGAGCTGAATCTATCAACTTCTTATGAAAATAGTCTTCCATTCTGTAAAAAATTTATCATAGTTCTTTATATATCAATATCAATGAGCTAAATTAAATAAAAATTCAATTAATGATATGAGAGGAAAATATTCAATTATTCAAATTTAATCAAAAAAATGCAATAAAATATATTCTAACCTATTTATTACAAAATCAACTAAATGTATCACACTAAATGCTTTGAATGGTCCCAAAATATTTCCTTTCAAATCTTTAGAAACAGATTCCACTAAATCAGTTATTGTTGTGCCTTGAAGAGAAGGTAATGGTATATGCTTTCTGTAACATAATGCCCATTGACGTCTTCTGGTCCATAAATCTTCTAAATAATTTCTGAAAATCGAATAAAATTCAATCATAACATTTTCCTTGCAAACATCCATCTATCTAATTAATAAATGATTTATTATTATTGTATAACTACCTGAAATTAATGTACTTTTGTACACAAGGATCATTAATAATATAAGAATAAGTTACATCTAAAGCTTGTTCATTCTCAGCATACAATAATCTAATGAGATAATTCATCAACATTGGTCTATCTTGTTTGTGTATTCGATCTGTATCTAACCATAGCCATCTCCACATTGACTAAGTTAAAAAATATATATATTTATAATAATAATAATAAAATAGAAATATAAAGTAAACTAATACTCATTAGAATATAAAATAAAAAATTTTTTTAATTAATTATTTTATCCATATTAATTTTACCTGTCTGATCAGAAGATCACTTAAAAATAATTCACTATTAGACCAAACTGAATGTAAAGCACTTTGTAAGGAATCATTATCATCACTAACAAAATACCATGGTCCTTGTGTACCACGTCCATAAAATGCCCAATTTGGTAAAGTTTCCTAAAAGCATAAAAATATTTTGCCATAAAAAAAACAAATTAAAAAATTTAAGAAAAATAAAGATTATAAAAATAAAATAATTTCTTTAAAGTAAACAGGAATATAAATTTTGTTTTTTTTTAATATCTTTTATTGTACTGCAATTTGAAAAATCCAGCAACAAATTGCTTAACTTTTCCAGCAACATTTGGTGGCACCATCTGTTATGATATTTTATTTAAAAAACTTATAAAATGACAAAAAGATTCATTTTGAGAGTAGGGATGAGTTTTACAAAAAAATTGTAAATGCTAATAATGAGTAAAATCATCATTAAGTCTGACCCTACTGGAGATAAACATGACGCTCTTTATCTCTCCATCCCCTCGACTTTTAATCAACAAAAGTTAATAGTATCAATTCCCATAATAAACAAACCTCCGTGCAAAATTTCAGAAATTTTTGATAAAAAACATAGGAGTTATTAAGCTTCAAAGATGGTGAACAAAATTATGCCCCCAACATGAACATCCATACATATAAAAAAAACCCGAATGTTTTTGTATTTCTCGATGTTTCAAGGTTCCAAGTCTAAAAATGTAAACATCTTGGGGGAATCATTTTTTGACAGATCACTATACTTTCCCTCTGTTATATATAACAGCTGAGAGAGAAAAATTATAAATGTATACATTCCCACTGTCTGTCTACCTGTCCTGCCTTAATCTTGAGAGTGCCTTATATTTTATATTAAATAAATTTAAAAAAAATGATTAAAAATTGCAGGCATTGTGACAATTTTATAATAAATAATTGCTTGTTATGATAATAATAATGTTGATTATAATAATAGATGCTTTTTAAACCAAAGGCAAAACTAATACAGGCATTTAATTTAGACATAACACAAAAATATTAACAGCATATCCAATTCAGACAATCTTCAAAGATAAACATAAATACTAATATATATATATATATATATTCATCCCAATAAATCTAATCTTTTAACAATAAAAATTAATTTCTTCTTCACTGAAAAAAAAGAGCCTAAATATAAAGAATTTAAATGTCAGATAGAAAATACTAGAAGAATAAGTCATTTCCAAACAACATTCATTTTCAATTGCACAAATAAAATGTTAAATTCAATTATTAAAACCAATGGGATCGGTGGTAATATTAATATACTAAAAATAAAAATTTTTAGTTAAAAAACAAGTAAAATTATACTCTTTCTATTTCCAACTTCGAGGATTCTATGAGCCAAAACAAGACAAACAAATGGCAAAAAACAATCATCACTTTATTAAATTTATCCAAATGGATAAATTTATATTAAATAAAATGTTCTTGTAGAGTGCAATTTACCCACTTCATCCTCAGACAGAGAGACAAAACATTACATAGAAAATATTAAAAGTTTTGGAAATTATTTGGTTAAGTTGGTTTGATTAAGTATTATGTTTCTTAGATTTTAAATTTCATAAATATTTCTAAATTATCTACATAAAATTTTACAGAAAAATGTTATTAAAAAAAATTCATTGATGATAAATGTAATTAATACTGTGAACAATCTTAATCTTTATAATAAATATACCCCTTAATCTTATATAACAAAATATATCCTGAATATAAAATTACAAAATGTCTTCACTGATCGCCATGTCCAATCACCAGGAACAACAGTCTTCCACAACAGAGACGACATTTCTTTAGAGGCTACGCCTCCACAAAAAAAATTTGTCAGCCTTTTTTACAAATGAAATATTATGTTTTTAATTGTGCTGGGATTGTCACCTGTGAACTTTTAGACTGTTTTGCATTTTTTTGTTTGTTACATTTTTTAAATTGTAAATTCATCAGCCTTTTTTATAAATTACAGAATGTTTTAAACTGTTTTGGTTAAATCAATTTTTATATATAAGATTATTCAAATCTAAAAAAAATTTAAAAGTATGATGATATTTGATCCTTTACTAATAAATGAGATATTGCATTAATATAAAACAAACACAATGCAATAAAATATTTCCTTCAAATAGTAGTATTTTTAAAACAAGTTATAGTTCAAATACAATAGACAACATTGAGTTTATAAACTTACATATTGAACTCAGGATTAACAGCAAATGTTCAAAATAATTATACTGTAGTTACATTAAAATTCTCTATCATTAAAGTCTTATATAAAATCATACAAATCTCAGAAGTTTCAAAAATATTACATTCAATCATCTTAAGCCATTAGTTTTACAAATTTTATGTAGTAAGTTAATTGTTAAATTTAGACATTAAACAAAACTATACTACAGTATATGCATTAAAAAAGTATCATTGAATGTGACTGTATGTTATTTGATATGGAGTTGCTAATTGAAGATTAATCAATGATTAGGAACTAAATCTCATTATTGGTAATAACAAAAATTTCTTTTTATAAATTAATTTTATATTATTTAAAATAATAACTTAATAAAAAAGTTTTCATTTCACAAAAAATCAAATAAAAATAATTAAAAACTATTAAATAAAAATTCAATTCAATTACCTTAATAAGATTGAAGAGAGTTAGCCAAGATGTTTTACTTTTGTTGCTAGTTATTCCAAGAGCAAGTGGTAAACTTCCAACTGCAGAACGAACAAGAAATAATATCAAACGGCAGTGAAATCTATCAATACCTTTGGTTGAATCACAGAAGCAGACCTCTCCTGATTCCCTTACTAATCTATGAATGCGAGCCATAATAGGTGTACAAATAGCTACATAAGGATGTACAGTTTCTTGTTCCACTTCGTAATAAACAACAATTTTTCCTCCTTCTTCATCATGTTCAGCATTGTAAGAGGCAGCTAATCTTTTCAAATGTTCTTTTTCATTGTTCATAGTAATGTGATTTCTAATTTGCTTTTCATATACTTCATTTGAATCATTTATATTTTCACTAGAATTATTAAATGCATTTTTATCAGACAAATCCTTTTGATTTTTAAAAAACATTTTATGAAAATGTTGACAATTATCAACAGTTGGACAAAAATATCTATCAGCTAGAATTTTGGGATATTTTTCACCATATTCTATTTGCAAATCAAATCTATGAAGATGTAAGGCAAATGATGGTCTATAGCCATCTGCAAACATTTTATTAAGCTTATTAAGAATATCTGTGGAAACAGGCCGAAACTTTAGAATATTATCGTCTAAAGGATGATTATGACAAAATTTGATTAGAAGACTACAAGAATTTGTTGTTGTTGACCTTGTAGTAGTATTTAGTGATTGAAGCACAGGGTCATCTGATATTACAGCAATAATAGATGCTGGACAAGAAGTATTTTTTGTTGCTCTCTTCTCTTCCTTCTGCTTATTTCGTGTATTATGTTGACATCTGTACAATATATAAATAAAATAATTTATACACAAGTTCAGATACTTCAGTTACTGATAACTAACTAATAATTAACAAAAATTTACCTGAATCTTAATTTTTGAGAACCAGGATATGTTTGTCCTAATTTCATAGTTATTTTTGTTTCTTCATTATATTGTTTTATCCAATTAAAAATATCATCTTTGCTAGCAATATTTGTTTGTAATCGTAGAGTATAATTATCACCATCACCATGTTCTTCAGCAAGTGTAAGATAAGTGAATCCACTTGGAAGTTTAATTGGTATTCCTTCTAAGCAGTTTGACTAAAAATATCAAATTTATTCTCAAATAAATTCAAGAATTATAACTTCTTAAATAAAAATTTATATTTAGCATATCATCAATCACTAAAAAATTTAAAAAATACAACAATTAATTGAAAATTTAAATAACTGCTTTTCAGAAACTTTTTCAACTGAACTAATGATTAGTAGTTGTTAAAATGTTTTGATAAATATAAATGATACTAATGAACTTACATTCATATCATACTTATCTGTCTGTACACCAACATCTTGAAGAATCATTTTGTTAGAAGGAAAACTAACCCAATCATTTGGTTGATCATGTTTATAATCAGATTTAATGTTAATTGGAGCAGGCTACAAAAATAAAATTCATTTATAAAAATTTTATGATTACATTTCAGAAATTTTTAATGCTACTTACATGTTTCTTTGCAAGATGTTTAGTAAATTTTTCTTTCATTTTTGCTCTAAAAGGGCATATAGGACAGTGATAATGCCAATATCGTTTGTTTGATGAAACAGTTGCATTTGGTTCGCATTTATAACCACATCTCACTAAAAAGTAGCCTACAAATATTAAAAATAATATCCATAACAGTATGTTTATTAACTTTTCTCCAAATATTAAGTCAGAAAATAATATAATGTATAATAATTATAAAAATTACTTATTCTTTTTATAAAACAACATATTAAAGAAAATCTAATAATGTGCATAAAAGTAATAGAAACAGTAGAAAAATTTTTTTAAACTGTAGTTATAATTATTTATTATTTTTCTTTAAATAATTTACACTAAATTAACTATTTATTTTAATATTCTTTAAATAAATGTTATTCAAACAAATAATTAACTAAAAAAAAGGCTTGTAAAATCAAGTTTTATCAAATAAAATCAATAGGTTATCAAAATGTTTCATTTTCTTTTCAAATATTTATTAAAATTATTAAATAATATAACCAATAATACCACACATCAATTACAAATTATTTCAGTTCAGAAAAATTATACTTTAATTAAATATGTCATCGAAAATTTAAGTCCATATAATATAAAATACAGCTAAGATAACTGATGATAACACTTCTTATGTTTAAAAAAAAAACAATGAATCATTGTTTTTTTTTTTAAACTAATAGCATGATTCAAAAGGAATCCTTTTGATACAACTTTATGTTTCCTTATTAGGTAGGTTAGAAAAGAATTGCAATTAAAAAGTGTATCATTAATTTGAATACAAAAAAAATCAACACATGTATATAGGGTAGTCCATTTTAATCAATTCATTGAAAGAATTAAAAAAAATACACATCCTACAAAAAAAATCATTATATCAAAAGTGTTAAACTTTTGGGGGGGTCACAAGGTGGAACTATCTGTTTTGTCACAGATGACAGCGCTACAATTGCTGAAACTGGGGCCCAATTCATTTTCTAAAGTGGTAACTCATGTTTTATTGTACATTATGATTCTACATAAAAGAATAAACTTTTATCTAAACATTTTTTTGAAAGAAATTTATCAGAAGTTATGAGTATTTGAAGTTTCACATGGCAGCCACACCAAATACATGTGAATCTGTGAATATCAGTGAAGTTCATTAAAAAAATAAGAAAAATACTAAAAATATCATTAGGACACTGCTATTATTTGCTGAAATGATTCTTTTCTTCAAATAATGTATTAATATAAAACGAGTGCTACAGCAAGTTAAAGCCATCAGGTTTGTGATAAAGAGAAGACATTGATTGTGACTGTTAAAAAGACATGGTAGATATAGATAAAAAAACTTTTTTATATAGAATCATAATACAAAATAAAAAATGGTAATTCTCATTTAAGAAAATGAAGTTGACTCCATTTTTCACTGATTGTAGTACAGTAGAATTCCAGAAACTCAATTCTTGATAATTTGAAAATTGTCATGTTGTAAAGTACTATATTATTTTTCCGCCCTCTACGACGATTATCGACACAACTGTGTGCCGGAAATAGCCGTTACCTAATGGGTACTTTACATGGATTCGTGTTAACGTGCCAGGCCTGGACTTTAAGCATGCACCGAATTAAATAATGACAAAGTTTGTCAATAACAAATCAAATATTTAATAAAAGTTCTGGTAATAAACTATATACAAAATCTAGTAAAATTCAAATAACAATTTATTCAATGAAATTCAACAAGAATCAACCCGACAAACTCAAATCAATCTATTTCTAACTTAATTCTATTCCCCTTTGGAATATGACAAAATCAAAGACTTAATTTATGTACAATAATTCTTATGAATTAAAGATCCTAATCATCACCTCAATATACTAGGAACCTATTTTCTCAACTCTCAAGACTTTCTCTATTCGTCGATCCACAAATCGAATAACTTCAAAATCGCCTTGGAACTATTTGATCCTATTGGACACCTCTCTTGTTCACTGCTACGAAGCTCACCAAGCTCATTGCTATCAGAAGCTCACCTTGTCTGTCTTCACTTGAGGTTCAGTCTTTATACTGTGAGGTGATCACAATTCTGAATGCGATCACTCCCCCCATTTACATACTTATTTGCTAACAATAAACTTTAACATTTAATAGCCATTCCAATCGGTCTTTATTTGTTTAAAACGCATTTAATTTTAAATATTTATTTCTAAAATTTAAATCTTATTTATAATAATATTCCAAAAACATAACAAAGTAACACAAATACATATTATCTCATGTACAGTACATGGACAACTGTACACTTCACACATGCACAGCTAAATCACTTATTAGATGTTACATACCCTTATTCCACTGACATTAAAATGGAATTTGTCTAGACAAATGCAGAATGTTAACACTGTGCTGTTGCTAGGGCAACTGAATTAAAAGATTCACCAACCTACAGTAGTCACCACTTGTTAAACCTGGCCACAGTTAACATGTCATCCAATAAATAGATTTAAAAAAAAGTAGTTTTGATTCATTGCATAAATGTTTTACATAATTTAGAACAAATATACAGTAATTAATCTTTATTTTTTGCAAATATCAACTTGATATCTTGCAGGTTTAACAAGATTGAGCCAGTCAAACTTGAGCCACAGGCATCAAAAAACATAGATCACTGTATGTTTAATATTTTGTTGCATCACCTTTGTGGCCAAAATACCTTCCGTATGTTTTGGCATGCTGTTGACTAGGTGTTCACATTCATCTGCCATTATGGAATTCCAGATAGTTAAGATGGAAGCTTTTAGTCCTTCAACTGTCTGAGAGTGTGTTTTTTGCAGACATCTCTTCATAATGTTTCATACTTTCTCAATTGGGAAAAGATCTGAGCTGTTGGATAGCCAGGAAGAACTTCTATGTTCTTTTCTGCAAGCCACAGTTTTGTTTTTCTGCTTGTATGATATGTGGCCCCATCCTGCTGCAAAATGCAGGTTCTGTTTAATTAAATATAGCTTTGCCATGGACAGAAGTAAATACTGTTGTAGAATGTTAATGTATTGCTCTGAAGCAAGTGTTCCATCAACAAATGTCAACTGGCCCCAAACCATGAAGCTGGCAGGAAACTTCACTGAGCAGTATAACAACGATGCTCATTAGCTTGACTGGCAGATCGAATGACACATTTGTTTTTGTCTGTTGCTGATAATTCAAAGTTTGATTTATCAGACTACAGAATTTCATGCCACTTTTGTTGAGACCAGGAAAGATGTTCTTTGGCTCACTGTACCTATTTCTTCTTTTGATGTGTTGTTAGCAAAGGTTTTTCACATGCTACATAGAACTGAAAATGTATTTCTTGCAGTCTTCTGCATGTTGTCAAAACAGATACATTCTTTCCAGTTTATCATTCCATATTATAGTTACATTCAGTAATTGTGGCATGGCAGTTGTTTTTTTACAATTCTTTTAAAACTCCTATCATCAAGTTTTGAAGTTTTTTGCTGATGTCTAGCAGCTTTGTTAGGTATAACATAGCTGTGATTAGTGTAATAAACAATAATCTGGTGCACTGCTGTCTTGCTTAGTATTAGCTCTTTTCTAATAGCTCTCTGACATGCCACAACTTTGTTTAGTAATGATAACATTCCTTAAATCTTCTGAAACAGCTTTTCCACTGGTCATTGTAGACAAAATGCAAAGGTTTGTAAATAAAACTAAAAAAGGATCTTATACCATTCACAGGATTACTGCAGGCCAAAGTGAGGCTAAAATAATCAGTTGTTTCAAAAATACTGCAATTGTAACATTATTTAAATGCAAATTATCGGCTGGTCTACGTTCATTGACATAGGTGATGGTGCAGTCTATGTTTTTTGATGCCTGTGATTCAAGTTTGACTGGCTCAATTTTGTTAAACTTGCAAGATATCAAGTTGATATTCAGCAAAAATAAAGATTAATTAATGTACAAGTCGACCTCCCTATAAGATTGTTGATTTTTCCGTTTTATATGAATTCCATGTTGTACGAGTAACTTAGATTTTACAAATACGTGTGCCGGGCTGTGAATGGCTCACATATTTGTAAAATCTAAGTGACTCGTACAACATGTAATTCAGATAAAACGGAAAAATCAACTATCTTATAGGGGGGTTGACTTGTATATTTGTTTTAAATCACAGGTTCTCAAATTTATTTTGACCATTGCCCACTTTGAGATTAAAAAAAGTCTAGTGCACCCATATTTTTTAACTTACCTTTTTACATTATCATCTGTTATGTATCTTAAAAACAGTTATTGCAAATATAATGTTTAAACATGCATTATTATATCGATAGGAAAGATAAGGTGTAACCCATATCCTATTTCTGAGAAAAAAGAATGTTTCAATGAGAAGAAATAAAACTCATATTTAATCACTGAACCTTCTACCGCCCCCTGAAAGCTTCCAGTGTCTACAAGGGGGCATTATCGCCCACTTTGAGAAAGGATGTTCTAAATTATGTAAACCATTCATGCAATGAATCAAAGCTACTTTTTTTAAAACCTATTTATTGGATGATATGTTAACTGCAGCCCAGTCTAAGTTCAGTGGTGACTACTGTATAAATGGATCCTATATAGAAAAATTCATTACTCCCTATGATAGTGAAATAAATCAAAAATTAAAAATTGCCATTTAAAATCAGAATTTATCACTTACAATTGATAAATTAAAAATTGTCATTTATTATCAATTTTTGACTTATTTCTGTACTTTCTAATATTGTGTTCAATAGCAACTGTAGTTTACTCAACAAGAAATTCTCTGCAGGAATAATTCAGTTAAATACCTATGTAATATACTCTACATATAGAGTATAGACACAAGCATTGCACCAAGCTGTATCTCACTCCTGATATGTAATAGCTAAATGCAATCATACTGGAGTATACACTCATCAGAAGAAATGCATGTAGCCACATGCACATTGCAGGATTGGTAGAGGTGACAGAGCTTTGCAAATTATTAAAGAACAAACAAAGATATGCAGAGCAGTAAGGTGGAGACATCTGCTGTAATATCAGGAGTCCAACTCATCCTTACTACTCGTGCAGAACATCTCAAGTGGTTAGAGGCAGTGGAGATTTTTAAGGCTTATTGCAAGTCCACTTGCATTAATTTTAGGGAAGAGATGAATTTATCAATGGATTGGCAGGCTTTACATGACAGTGCAGTTTAATTGTTGGTCATATTTAAGGGTAACACAGGTGTATGCATGCGCATAAATCCATTGTTCAAATTGTTCATCTTACAGTTCTACTCTATATTTGATTATTATATTCTAGAATGAATTTAGAAGATCCTACTAATTTTGAATTAAAATGCCTGAGGAATAACTCTGAAGGAGTTAAGAAAACATTTGTTTTTTGTTTTTTAACCTTACTTTGCACCGGTTATTGGTTGTAGAGAGTTATATTAGTGAGATATAAGATAAAAACTAACCTTGAAATTCTACTCTACTCTTCCAATGTACTGTCATAAGATGCATTTTAATACGAGCAGGCTTTCCTGGTTTAACAACATCTTCTGGACATAAAGGACAGCAATATCCAGTTCGACAAAGATGTTTGATAGGCCTTAAATCATCTTGACTTAAACATATCCACTAGAAATAAATATGAATAATTATTAGAAAACTTGCATAAATTTGTTCATTTAAAAAATAGAATAAAGTTTAGTTAAACTGTAAGAAATCATTTGATTTCTTACAGAAAGTGTGGCTATTATAAACTCCAAAAATTGTATAAATAGGAATCTAAGCATAAAAATAAGCAAAGATTGGTTAAAAATATTGTAAAAATAAAAATTTTTTAGAATGTTTTTAAGAAAAATTTTTAAGATATTTTAGTGAATTCTGTTTATTTGGCTGTTTTGGCTATTCCAAATATTATGTAAATTCCGACTGTCATAAATGGTTAAAAATGCAAATTAGCAACCAAGCTCAATACTGTGTAATGAACTGAAAACAAATTTTGTTATAGTAAGTTAAGTGAAGTTTATCTGATTCTGTTATGTGCCAAAGAAAAATTGAAAGAAGCCAGCCAAATATATCCATCAATCTTGGAAAGGAATTAGCCAATATATTCATCAACTTTAGTAAGAAGATGGAAGATGTATTGCATCTACTTAACAGTAAGAAACAGCACTAGATCAAACTTAGTATGGTTTTGTTCTATATCCGTATAAGCTTGTATATTTATATAGTGTTTTATTGTTTAATTAGATGTACATAGATTTTATAGCATTGATGTAGTCAACTTATCCTCCCAATAAGGAGAACAAGAACTTATGCTGTAAAAGTGTCATTGCATACATTGCGTGTTTAATGGTAAGTTTTTAAAATATACATGTTTTTGAATTGAGTTTGTATAATTTAATTTGAAAAATGTAATAATCCAATATTGTATATGTTCTCTCTTATCAGTTGACTGATGAGGGGCTAAGTGCCCAAAATGTGTAAAAGTACCGTATCAACTGAATAAAGAGGAAAAATGCCAAGTGTAACACAGTCTTGTGTTCAATAGTCAACTATACAGTAAATCTTTTGAATCCCATATACATACCTGCATACAGGGTAATATGGCAATATACGTGGTACGATCCAAAAGTTCAGGGACTGCATTAATGTATGACAATAAAAGCATGTATTTGAAGTTACAATGAATGAAACTGATTCTATCAAACCTTTCCTATGTGTTCAGGTTGGTTTCGTCCATGTCATGTGATTAAACCGCGAACGCTGTTGTTTTCTTTCAGAGATAGTTACCTTTGTTTTGCGACGTAATAAAAATGAAGTTTCAAGAACAGTGCTGTAACATTAAATTTTGTCAGCATTTAGGTAAAACACCTACGGAGACTTTAAAATTGCTAAGAAAGGTATATGGTGATTTTACCATGATGAAATCAAAGGTGTACAAATGGCATCAACGTTTTAAAGAGGCCGAGAATCCATCGCAGACGATGAACACTCTGGCTGATCTTCGGCTTCACAGAACGAGGAAAATGTTGAGTTGGTCTATCAACGTGTTCGCACAGATCGTCGCCAAACCCTTGAAAAAACTCAGTTATCAAAGACTAGTTGCCAGCGTATTTTAACGGAAGATCTTAACATGCACCTAGCAAAGGAAAAGTCATGATGAAGGTGTTTTTTGATTCTCAAGGAATTGTTCATTCACAATTTATTCTCGAATGCAGAACAGTAAACAAGGAGCATTATCTAGATATTTTATGTCATTTGAGGGAATCCATTCCTTGTAAACGGCCACAGATCTGGCCAAGTGAAGACTGGTACCTTCTGCATGACAACGCACCTGCACATTGGTCCCAAATGGTCACACGGTTTCTCGCCAAAACTCAAATTAATGTGCTTCCACACCCTGCCTATTCACCGGACTTAGCCCCGTGTGATTTTTATTTGTTTCCATCAATGAAAAAGCATTTGTAGGGATGCCGTTTCGTGTCATCAGATGAGGTGAGAGTAGCATTGCAGGAGGCCTTACGGGAGGTTTCAAAAAATGGCTTCCAGAAGTTATACGAGTGCTGGCAAAAGTGTATCGTTGCCCAAGGTGATTACTTTAAAGGTGGTTATGCATCGGCAATATAAACTTTTTAAGGTAAGGAATTTTAAGCCAAGTCCCTAAACTTTTGGATCGTACTACGTATATAGTATCTATATTTAAATTTATAACTCGGGGGTCAAGGTCTACATTATTTTTCTCTATTGTTGATTTTGAAATATTTGACAAGAAATTTGATATGAAAGTTAAATATATTTTATCTTCAATCAATTAAAATAATCACTCTTAGCCACATGTACAAAACCATAATTTTTGAAAATTCGAAGTTTGGACTATTTACAAAAAGTCAAAATAACTTTTGAGTCCATCTTTATCCTTCTAACACTACCACAGAAGTAACAGTCTTAAAAAAATTTTTGCTTTGAAGAACTCTTTCTGGTCCTCTGGTGGTAGTTACGAGTATCTCCAATATTTGCATATGGTTACAATTTTTGTAATAACTCAGGATTATTTCTTCAAAATCCTCAAAAGTTATTTTGACTTTTTGTAAATAGTCCAAACTTCGAATTTTGAAGAAATAATCCTGAGTTATTACAAAAATTGTAACCATAATTTTTGACTTTACTGATAGAGGGCAAATAGAGTGAATCATTTAGTATGCAATCCATAGTGGTTATGTCCTGAAGCTTTCTTTTTAGACTTGTAACAAGTTGAACAAATTAATCTAATAAAGAAAGTCTGTACACAAAACATACAATTTAAAACTACAAAATAATAAAAATTAGTTTCTTGTGATTTCTTAATGATATACATATATAAACTTGTGATATCATCATATTATAATTTTGTTTATTGCCAAAATTTTTTGTTATGCATGATATATTTATTAACAAGTGTTGTACTGATTAAAATTGTTCATTTATAATTTTTCAAGCAATTCTGTTAAATAAAGATGACTTGAAAATAGTGTTTTTTTCTTTCTTTTTTTTTTTTTTTTGTTATATCTCCAGGTCAGCTGGAATTAGGAGTCAACAACTTTAAAAAATGTCATTGTTACTTAATACTTACATAGATTTATATTTGAAAGATCCATATGTCATTCAAATACATGTTAATAAACAATTTTTGGTACTTTTCCTTTAACTAGGTGCCAGTCATTTTTACTACTATTTTTAGCGAAATCAATATTTTATTTCATAATTCACATGTTTAATATTACAATTAATATTTTTATACACATATTTGGACCGTTTATTTTGAAAGTGGTGTAAGTCCATTTTTGGAAAAAATTGAGAAAACACATAATATACATACAATTTAGTGTGAACTTTTTATTTATAAACAATTCACACTTAACATTTTAAAATAACCATAAGCTTTGATCAATTGAAAATTTATCGATAAATGACATTGCATAACCATTGATTTTGAAAGTGGTATAAGTCCATTTTCTACAGTCTTGGGCTATCCATAAATTACATGTGCATTTTTCTTGAAATGTTTACTTTTCCCTCTTGTCCCAGTTTGTCCAAGTTTTTGTAACCCCTTTCCCTCTATGGATGTCCAACATAACTCTATCCCTGTTAAAACCTTCATCACTTTATGAATGATAGATACCATAAGTAGAAATGAAACATACAAGAAACTTTGAAATAAATATAATAAAATGCATATTGTATAAAATTTAATGAAATAAATGGATGTCCACTAATACTCAACCCTCCTTGTCCAACTTGTCTTAACCCCTCCCTCCCTTTCAGTGTGGACATCATTTAAAGACAGCCCCTTACAACAGAGGAGTAAAACTGTAAATATTACCAACAAATGTACAATTTGATGGACTAGAAAAAAATCCATGTAATGAATCTAAATGAAAAGCAGTGTCTAATGGTAAGCTCATAATAATGATAAATTTATCATAAAATAGTTTAACAATAAGTAAATATTTTTAATGTTCAGAATAAACAATACTATTTTATTTCTTGTTATTATATATGAACAAAATCAGAATAAAACGCAATGTGTTTCAAGTGACATTGAGTTTTACATAATAGAAATTTAATGAATTTTACAGTTTAGTAATTATGAAAGTGGTGTAAGTCCATTTATGGCCCAGAAAGAATATATTAGTTTGGATAAATTCACATAGAAGTCTTTATGCAATCAACTTACATATTTCTAAAGTCGTAGAAACATTGTCAAACTTAGTACACTTTGTTTATATTTTTGAATCAACTAAAATGCAAATGTTTAAATATCTCGAAAGAAGAAAAAATGGACTTACACCACTTTCAAAATAAACGGTCCATTTGTACACATGTTTATACATCATTGTTTACACATGTTTAATATTACAACATTTTGCTAAAAATAGTAATAAAAATGACTGATGCCCAGTTAACAGAAAAGTACCCAATTTTCTGTTGTTAATAAATAAAATTAACAACAGAAAAGCTAAAAAACACTATTAGAGTATATTGATTATATGTAAAATTAATCAACTTCAAATATAGGCTTCATATTAATAATAAACTGTTGCCAACATGCAGGATCTAACAAAATTGACAGTTCAATCACATATTTTCCTACATTTTTCTTAGATGATGACAGGTGTCTTTACTAGTATTTAATAAATTATATTATTAATCAGTCAGTAAATTAGTTGGTATAGCATATGAATATAAAACTATTCATAATATCATATTATTAGTTTATTTTTATTTTATTTTGAACTAAATTTCTCCATTGAATTAAACGTACAGAAGTTAATACTTACATCAACTTTCATTATATATAATGAGATAACTTATGATCATAAGATATCTCTCGATATTTATATATATTTAGATCATTAATTTAATAAATTTCTAAAAAATCATGATAAGTTCATTTTCAAAACAAACAAGCTTTCTTCTGTCAAAAGCACATCTCACAAACCTATCAATTTCATTCGCTCATGAGCGCCATCTAAGATATTGTATAGATGTCATAGAGATCTGTATTTATGATACATAACTAAATACTGTAATATTTAAATTAAAGGCATGAGAAATTTTAATTTTTGAAAATATATTTTAAAAAGATATTTTTGAATACTTGAGTGTAAAACATACCACAAAATGTTTCCAAATAAAAAATTAGTATTAAAAGTTATTTCTACTTAAACTAACATGATTTTCTAAGTACAGTAATACTTTCCGTAATTACACCGATCATATTCTAATTCGTCGAAGTAAGCGAAATTAACTGGAAAAAAAGCATGCTAAACGGTATATCAGATAAAGTTTGAAATTATGAAAACACTTAAAAACGACCGATATCTTAATTCTTCAATACTATCATCAATTTTCAAATAGCTTTTAATACTTGTCAATACTTCCTAAATTATTATTCATACGGAAATTATTTATTTTAACACGAACAAATTGAGAAAACTATTTTGCCGAAATATTGAAAGCCCACCAATGGTTGATTGGATAAAACCACTGAGCAATAGTAGTGACGGCCGGATGACCGAGCGGTGAAGATGGCAGCCCACTGCTCTGGGGGACCAGGGATCGAATCCAGACGGGTCGCAAAATTTCCAGGATCTTTTCGGGTGTGGTCCGTCCGGATATGTCCTTCACCACCCGGCTACCCCATTATGAGCCTGGCTGGACCTGTAATGGGCTTGCTAAAAGAGGAACTCTTAGTACCCACAAGGCGGAGAGTTAAAAAATATATACATATATAGTTAGATGTACTATCGCCCATCACTAAGCCACCTTCCTTTTGAGTTCTGCCACTCACAATAGCATCAGTGGGCTGGTCAAGGATCAACTTATCCGTGGAAATTTCTACTTATCCAGGGAAACTTTGATTCGAACTAGGTCTTCGTATCTTTATCGCCTTGTCTATCCGACAGTCTGTTGTGGCTATTCGAAGGAGCGACATATTTATAAAATGGAAAATTTCATTAATCGTATCAAGGTCTTTTAAATTTTTATCATGGAATTTAATGGATGTAAAATAACTAAAATATTCGACGTTAAATATTTTATGAAAATTAATTATTTTAAAGCCATTGACGGAATGACTTTTTAGATATACACGAATCTAAAAATATTTTGCAGAAAGTGCTGCCATCTCTTGATAGGATTGTTCTTATGAATTGTATGTTTAAATTGTTTAAAGATATGTTTCTGAAGGCTGTTTTGATTACGAGACGGTTATTTTGTAAGAAAAATTATTTTGAGATAATAAATTTTAGAAAAATTAGTACTAAAACTATTAGCGAAGAAGCTGTGAAGAATATTCAGCATGTTAATGTTGGAACTATTGGGCACGTGGACCATGGAAAAACAACTTTAACGTCTGCAATTACCAAAATATTATCTATAGAAGGATTAGCGAAATTCAGAAATTATTCGGATATCGATAAAGCACCCGAAGAAAGATTACGTGGTATTACTATTAATGCTAGCCACGTTGAATACAGCACAAAATCTCGACATTACGCGCACACTGATTGTCCTGGACATGCTGATTATATTAAGAATATGATATGTGGAACATCCCAAATGGATAGTGCAATATTAGTGGTTGCTGCAACTGATGGTGAAATGCCACAAACTAGAGAACATTTGCTGCTTGCGAAACAAGTTGGAGTGTCTAAGATTGTTGTGTTTATAAACAAAACTGATTTAGTAGATAATGATACGGTAGAATTAGTTGAGTTAGAAATTAGGGAATTACTTGACAAATATGGTTTCAGTGGTGATGATACACCAATAATCTATGGCTCTGCTCTTTTAGCTTTAAAAGGCGACAAGTCGGAGATTGGAGAGGCTTCCATAAGACGTTTGCTTGATGCTTTGGATAAACATGTGCCTACACCAGAAAGAGATATATACTCTAGTTTTCTTCTACCTGTAGAATCTATTGTAAATGTGCGTGGCAGGGGTACTGTTGTAATAGGAACAGTTATGAAAGGAGAATTAAAAAAAGGACAGAATGTTGAACTTAGTGGATGGGATACTAAACTTAATTCAACTGTAACTGATATACATATATTTCACAAGTCAGTTGAAGGATGTAAAGCAGGAGATCATGTTGGTGTATTACTTCGAGGAATGAAAAAGGAAAAATTAATAAAAGGAATGGTGATGTCGTTTCCAAACACTTATAAATTATCAAATTGCTATTTGGCAAATCTGTATTTATTAAGTGAACAGGAAGGTGGAAGGAAAAGACCTATTAGTAAAAATTATTTTCAAAGATTATTTACTCAAACATGGAACATTACATGTCGTTTAAATGTGACATCTAATGACATGATAATGCCTGGAGATCAGGGAGAAGTCTGTTTAACACTTTTTAATAAAATGGTAATGGTGCCTGGACAAAGCTTTAATATTCGTGAGAATAATGTTACGGTTGCATCGGGCATAATTACAAATGTTTTAGAAAGTATCCCTGTAACTGATCTTAAAAAATAATTAAAAATACTTATATTTACAGAAGTATTTTAATTATTTATGCCTATGTAATCTGATGTCTTCTGTTAAAAACAGAAAAAAAATTATATTACTAGTATTTTACTTTTCTAATTGTCATTTTTAACTGGCAATTAAAATAAATAAATTTTTATATAATATGTAAAAATACTAAACACCAAAATAAATTTCTAAATGAGATTTGAACTACTGTATTTTCCGGTGTATAAGACAACTTTTTAACCCAGGAAAATCCTCTCAAAAGTCAGGAGTCAGCTTATATGCCAGGTGTCATCATATATGGCCAGTATATCCCAAACTCTATATTTTAACTGTAAAAGTTGGGGGTCGTCTTATACGCTGGATAGTATGGTAATAAAAAGATTATTTATTTTATACAGTGGTGCCTCGTATAACATACTTAATCCATTCCAGGTGCACGTCCGTTAAGTGAAAAGTCCATTACACGAAACGCATTTTCCCATAAAATACATGTTAAAACATATAATTCGTTCCTCAGCATAAAATAACTGTACCATAAAAAAATGAAAATGGAGCAGTCATCAATTATGCCGGGTAATCAGATGATGTGAGGAGGTGGAGGAACACTTTCTTCACACATTAATACAGATACAGACTTTTTACACATTGCAATAGGTCTCTTTTTATTGTTTTTTAATCGAAGTCAGATTCAGGAGAGGCTACCGGAGCTTGCAGAGTCAACTCCTCTTGTTCCATCCTTTGTTTTTTGGCAGCTGGCTTCTTGAAAAACATGTCCAAGGTGGTCTGTTTCTCTCTTCTTCAACACCTGTCAGAAACGACAGTAAGGGTGTCATTGTAGAGATCATTGATCTTGGCCTGAGCTCTGTTTGGTAAACTCCTGAACCTCTCCCTATTTGACCTAAGGAAGTTTTTGTCAACTTTCACTCCTTCTGATGATGTCTTGCTTTGTTTCAATTGAAATCACTTTTCTGTTTTTTTAGAAGCCATGATTTGCACAACACTTGAATAAATGTAAATACCCTGCACTGAGGTGATATACATAATAAACAAGGGAGCAAGCCGAATCCCAACAGAAGCTCTGTACTTCAGATATACTAATAATATATTCTAATAATACTAATATATTATAAAAATAGCAGAATTGTCATTGGCAATGGCAAAAGAGTGGAAACATCATTCGCATTTGTTCACAGAAAGTCCGTTGTTCGCAGCATCAGTTATTTGAGGTGTACATTATACGAGGCACCACTGTATTTGGAAAATTAAAACGAATTATATACATAGTAATTATTTTATACTTAGAGAATTAGTAAATATAGGTAGAATCACTTAAGATTTATTTTCAAAATATTTAGGAATAAAAGTCAGCTTAAGAGTCAAAATCTTGATTTCTTTAAAATAGTTGAACAGTTACATCCCATTAATTGAAGAAAATGTTTACTTTTCTAAATAATTTCTGATCATAATTTATCTTAAGTAATTGCTAATTAGAAATTAACATTTACTTATTTGTTGGAATAGTTGTGTGAGAGTTTTAGAACATTTTAAATTTAAAGAAACATATTTGAAGTAATAACTAGATATCTAATGTTAATGTTATAGCTTGCAAGAAAGAAAACAGAAAATTTTTAATTGAATTGTCTCTATGTCCTTATTTTATACTATTTTTATTATATTGTTGTCTACTTAGGACTTAGCATATTATTGGGACTTTTTATACTGGTGTTTGGTTTTGCAAAAAGAGGAAGTCTTATTCAAAAAAAAAAGAATCTTTATTTTTCAACTGTGAAAAACCAATCCTCATACTTATAAAAGTATGACTTTACAAGTATTTACTACATCAAAAAATCATTAATTTGAAGATTATATTTTAATATTGCTGGTTGTTTTCAACATTACAGAGTATTAAATAAAATTAAAATGATCAGTAAAAAATTATTGTATTCAGTCTTAGGCAAAACCCATGGAAGCCAGAAAAAATCCTTTCATACATGACCTATTTACCTACTAAAGATTATTTTCTGGCTTAAAAATTTGGACTGTGTGTTTGATACTTATTATAATTACATAAAGCCATCTCATTTGCTGAATTATCAAATCTTGTGGAGTTTTTAATGTTAAGCTTTGTGTTCTATATATTGAAGCTATCTTTTATATTTAAAACTGAACATTAGAACATACAATTAGGATTGTATGGTGATGGCCAGACATCTGGCTTGAAGTCAGATATATTAACTTTTGAGGCAGTTTGAAGTGGATATTAATTTGTCCTTTTAGGCAATTTTGTCTAAAGTAATTGTTTAGTATCTAAAAATAATGATAATTTTATTTTAATAAAAATTACAATTGAATTTGAGTTTTTCAAGAGATCAAACAATAAGAAACATAGGCCTATTGGAAGATAATAGTTTTAGAGCAAGAATCTCCTGCCAATTACTTCACCTTGACACCCAACCAAATGAGAAACAAATTTGGGATCTGTAAACCTGATTATTTAAATCAGATAGTTATGGGAGGATGTATTTATCAAGAAAATATGTTTTCTGCTTTATGACAGTGATAGAACAGTATAGGTGTGATAGGGTTGTCTGATATCCTTTATTTCAAAGAACAGTCCTTTGTTTTTGTTAAATTGTTCTTGTCCTTTATTGAAATGAGAAATGGTGCAATTTATCCTTTGTTTTCATTTTTCAATGCTTAGGTTTTATAACAGCAGTGGTGGATTTCTTCCTAAGCATATGCCTATCCTTATATATCTATCCATATCTGTCCTTATAGAAAGCTATGGTTTATGAAAACCACTGAAGCAAAACATTGGAATAATATATTAATTAACTGAACAAAAAAAAAATTACCAAAACTCCAGCAATTAAAAAATATTTATGAATAAACAAATGTTTTCCACTTTTTTAATGGTCTTCGTCAGTTTAGATGAATTATAAAATAGAACATAACAACTATTTTAGAATTCATCTAAACTGATGTTGACTGTTAAAAATGATGGAAAACATTTGTTTATGTATTAAATACTTTTTCATTGCTGGAGTTTTGGTGATTTTGTTTTTTCATTTGGTCAAGCTATGATTTTATCATTAAATATTTTAAATTCTAAATTAAACTGAACTTTGCAAATATCTATAGTTAATATGAAAACTATAAATTTTAAATCAAACTCTAAAAATAATAAACAGGAATGTTTAGTTATTAACTAAAAAATCATTCAGTTTTATTTTATTGGAATGGGATGGGGTGAGTGGAAGTTGGAAAATGGTAGCATTAATTATTTTAAAATGTTTTGTATTTAGTTATAGAAATCATGTAATCCTAGTATGATGTGAAGACAATTCATCCCTAATTCACAGATATTCACCCTGGTGATGATAGTTTGAAAACTTCATCAATAATTTTGAGTAGACTATTAGTTTTAAAAAGTTTTCTATATAATTATAAATTTATATTTTATGTAATTGTTGATGTAAATATGAAGAAAGTTTTTAAAAAAAATTTTTTTAGCCTGTATTGAAAATTCTACATTTATATATACTGTATATATTTTTTAATTTGGTTCAGAAAGTAATACTTTCAAATCTTAGAATAATAAATTATTTTAATTAAACTAATATTTTAGATTTGTTTTAGGAAAAAGTGTAATGGTGAATAATAATTTGTTATTACTTTCTGTTAATTATAGTGACTATAAAAAATTTGACTTAATGATCATCTAACTATCAGCCAAATCAATTCAGTAGATGGTTGTATGATTATTAATACATCAGGTTCTAGGGATGTTTATATATTTGACTTAAACAGTGAATCTGAGATGATAAAGAATTTACTGGCAATGAAACAAGAATTATAATTTAAAAGCAAAATTAACTACAGTGAACAAAAAAGTTGCATAAGGCATTTTTTTGCATAAGTAAACTTACAAAGCAGATATGACAATAAATTTAACCATTGAATTTCTTTTACAATTAATATCCACATGTGTTTTATTTTTGACCTTATCTGAGGAAATATATTTACAAAAGTAAACTTGCATTTTTTGCAAGTGAAAAATGTATTTGCACACACAGTTCTACCATTTCACAATAGTTAAATATTATTACAATATGCAAATTGCCAGAACATGATAGGTCTGCATATTCAAGGCATGTTCTAAGACCATTGGAGCAGGAATTTGGCTAGTTTCAGTTGTCATGGCTCCAAAGAAGTGAAAATTCTCTAAGTCAGTATGAGAGAGGATTATAGCCTTATGGAATTGTGGTTTAAGTTTGAAAGCCATTGAAAAAGATTGTTAAAAGAGAATTAACTGCTGGTTTATAGGTAATTGCTTATTTATTGGTTTAAGTTTGCTTAATGTGTTAAATGTTTCTACATAAACATACATTATCACTAGGTAGACTTTCTGTACAGAAGTGCACTCAACCAATCAGACCAAATCATCCTAATATTTTAATGTTTTTGTTCAATTGTTACAGCTCTTCTGTTACAATTGAACCGCTATAGAGTCCCACTAGTCTGAACATATTTCAGTTGGCGGAGAGGAAATTTTCTCTAACAAGATGTCCACTTAGGGGTGTTTCCCTTTCTTTTTCCTGAGTGAACCATGTGAATAAGGCTTCATCAAGCTTGTCAGATGTTGAGGACCTTGCTGTTTGTCAATTTTCAACCAATTTTTCTGAAGTAGAGGCACAAAACTGTTCAATCTTTGTGCATTTTTTTCCCAGTTGGTTATTGTGACCTTGCTCACTCCAAACTCTATTGCCAATTTTGCTGCACTTTTACCCTTGTCCAGCTTAACTTTCAACATATACATTGTGTTTCTGTTTTGTGGCTATTGTAGCATCAGACTAAATTAAAATAATGTAGAGCGAAAAGTACGTTCAACATCCACAATTAAGCACGCTAACTTACACAGTAGCATCAATCAACTGTGGACTCCTGGCAATGTATTAGCAATGGAATCCTGGACTGTGTATTAAAAACGTTTTTTACAGTTAAAATAATTTTAAGGCAAACAATGAAGGCAGGTTGCCATTTGAAAATTACAAAACTTGTTTTTGTTCACTGTTTGCACCCTCTGTTGAGTACAAGTCAGATGAAATAAAGGGTTGGGTGCTGACATCATTGATAGTGTTGGATCTATATAAACCAGACCTGTTTTACTGCTTGCTTCTGCATTATTTCAATTATTCAGCTAATCCAAACAGGGCTCAATCCTAATTAGTTCGGACTAGTGGAACTCTACTGTATTAATTTTGTTTGAATTTTAAAAGCATTTAACCAGTTTTACATTATTTGTTTATTCAACTCAATAAATATTATTATTCTTCAAGTCATCTGCCATTATATATACACATTGATTATACATACATTATATGTACATTGATTATATAGTTTATATGTATATATACATACTAGACTTTTCATTAATTGACAAAACATTAAATAAAAATTAAAATAAAATTAATTTCTAGTGGAAATATAAGTTTTTAAACTTGGCATGCCATGCCTTGAGTAAGCCCACGCTTTGCACATCACATTTGTCTCATATTGCCATGTAGCTAAAATTGCTCACTGCATTCATAAAGCTTTATTTTAATAATAAAATAGTGTTACATCAAGTTTGTCTTTATTTGCTTTTAATTACTGTATTTCAATATTAATATCAAATCAAATGTTTATATGGTGTATAGTGACCATATTTTTTTGGAGAAAATAAAGAACAAATTGTTTCATAATTAAAAAAGCAGGCTATGTTTATTTGTTTTGCTGAAGTTAAACAGCTTTATAAAATTTAAGCAAATACATTGCATTTTAAACATTTACAGTATATTATTTTAAAACGTTTTAATTTTGATACTTTTCACAAGATATACTTTTAATAAACAGTATTTGTTTTAAAAAATCATTAAGAACTGTATACAATTTATGACAAAATTTTGCATTTGGTACAAATGCTTGCTTGCTTCTAACATTTTCAGTTTAATTGGTTTTTTCAATGGTCCACATTTGTTCACTAATGAAAATATTTATTCAGTGAGTTAGATCCAGGATTTTGCTTGAGGCAAAAACAAAATTCAACAATTTTTAAAATGGTTTTAAAAGATGTATGTTTATCTGAAAAATATTTAAATATTTTAACCCATATACATTGGCAGGATTTATTGTTTTGTCAACATTCTTAGATGTTTTCATTGGTGGCATAACTTTTAATACATATTCATCAAATAGTTTGCCGTCATTTATATTTAAGTTCCACTGACTTGAAATGAATAAAATGTTTTCCTTGATCTTCCCTACTTGCAGAGGGATTTCTCACAGCAGGACCATCAAATACTTTCATTTCCAGAAAGGAGTTGTCCCAGCTATTTAAATAATCAATACAGGTTTGGTAAAATTTATAAATTGCATAAAATAAATTAGTTAAATTGAATATTTGGGCAGTGTGTGGGCACCAATGTTCAATTTTCTATTTTGATTCATAAAGGACAAAAATGGCCATTTTAGAAAATAATAAATCTAAAAGAAGTGTCTTAGCTAATACACTACATATGGTCACCATACATATAGTATTAGGCATAATTTTAATAGTAACTCTCAAGCAACCAGAAACTACATTTATTTGGCACCTACCAATCCTGTGAATGCCAGTTAACTTAGTCTACTGTATGTAGTTTTTATGAATCTTTATTGACTATAAAGGAAATAATGTATATTGAAATCATTATAATTTAACAGAAATTTAAGTTATAACACTTTTAATCTTTGTAATTATTTCTATGCTAATTATTAATTAGTCAGTGATTCACAAACAAAAAAAAACATTAAGTTCTTTATTTCAAAGAATTTGGTGAAACTCAACATTTTAAAATATGTAGGATTTACAGGATATAAAACTATAACAATTCCTTTGGTTAGTTTAAATTTGTTGTATGCTCAAATCAAATATAAATTATATTTGTACACATTCATAAATAATAAATTTCTTAATAACATTATATTTACTTTACAGAGTAACTTCCCAGATGTTTGACAAAGTAGTCAAAATAGTCATTATTTTTAATAGTTACCATTTCCTTTTTTAGATTAAAAATAATACTGTACAATTATTATTATATAAATAATTTTACAAAATTCAAATCTAAAATAATGTTTTTTATCGTAATTTCTTTTTATTACATGATTTTTGCTGTAAAGTTTCACGATTTTCATTTTTATTAGCTGGAACATACATAGAATGTCCTGTAGATTTTAGATGTTCAAATAACTTATTTCTTGAACTAAATTCAGAATGGCATTTTTGACAAATATTTTCTGATGTAGATTGTGACGCAGCTTTGTTTTGTGCCTTGTTTGCTTTATTCTTTTTTCCTTTTGATTTATTATATGTATTACTTGTACTTTCTGATTTTAATTTATTTTCTTCACATACATTAACTGTGTGTGTTTCACTTTCAGATTTTAAATTCTTACTAATTTCAATATTACTTACTTCACTTTCACATATTATGTCAGTCTTATTCTCAACATTAATTTCTGTATTATCTTCTGTTTCTATTTCCCAATTATCTGAATCTTGCTTTAAATTATTCCTTTTTCTTTTATTTTTCCTTTTTTTAGACTCATTTTCTTGCTTTTTTAAGATATCTGACAAGTCACTTTCATCATTTTCAGTATCATCTGCTAAATCCAAATTTTTACTCTCTTCACATGTTTCTTCATTTTCTCTCATGACCAATTTTAATAATGTTACATTTTCTTTATGTCTCTTAGATTTTTCATGATTACTAAAAGCTTTTTCAGATCTAAATGACTTATCACATGCTACACAATAAAGATCTTCCAATGGCTCACTATTATCATCATCATCATCTTGATCTTCCTCTTCATTTTCTTCTTTACCAAATTCTTTATCTAACTGTGCTTCTATTTCTTGTAAACTTCCTTCTAGTTTAGACATTGATGTCCATTCTGTCTCTCTAAAATTTTCAAAATTTTTCTGCCTCTCGAGAATTTGCCTCCTCCGTTGTTCTTCCATCTTCTTTGTATTTTCAGCAGTTTTTTCTTCTAATACCTTTTTATACGCTTGTACTCGTTTATCTCTCTTGCGAACAAAAGCAACTAACTGTCGAACATCTTCACTGCGTGATTTTTTTGCTTGATCTCTAAGTTTCTTATTTTCTTTCTCCATTAAACGTAAAACTCTTCTATTGGGTGCCTCCCTGATATCATACTTATCTACCCAACTATATGGTTTGGCAGTGCAATAACTTTGCCAATAAGCATAAAATGTATGAACAACATCTTCATACGAACTATCAGAACATCCAAAGGTTGGTGCATCAATCACATCTGAAAAGACTTTGTCTTCCTCTGCTATCTTATCAAATACATTTCTATAGACAGTATAAAAGGATCTATCATCATCTCCGTAGCCACTGAAACAAGAAGTATTAAAATATTGAAAAACATTAAGGCTTTCATCTTGGTAATCGCCACCACATAATATTTCAGTTCTGTGTCGATCATACCAGGCCCTTTCATGAGGATCACTTAAAATTTCATAGGCTTGTTGTATTAGTTTAAACTGCGCTGTAGCATCTTCCAATTGATGCAAATTCTTATCTGGATGCCATTCTAGTGCTAATTTACGATAAGCCTTCTTTAATTCTTCAGGAGTAGCATTAATGGGAACTCCCAATACCTCGTAGTGACACTTCATATCTTATAACTTCTAATTGAGGAAGTTTGTAGCTGATTTCATATCGAATGTGCAATCGACAAATTTAGAGAAACTGATGTTGCTTTATGGTTCATCAAAACTTTTATATTATGTCAAGAAAAAATTATTTTTTAACAATAATCTGCGTAACATTTAACACAAAAATCACTTTAAAACCATACCAAGAAATCATTCATTTTTTTAATACCACCTAGTGGTCGAAAAAGAAATTAGGTCGATTAAGAATGTAGTACTGTACAGTATGTGGGTTTATAAATTTCAACGCTAAGTTTTAATTATTTTTATGTTCTATATTAAATAAATTACTTAAATTACAGAATATTTATTTTTAAGACTCTAACGTAATATTCAGTTTAAAAATAATATTTTCGTATTTTTGAAAGAAGCGAATTAATTAATTAAAAATTAAACAGGGAAAAAATGTTATCTTTACGACTAAGAAGTAAATAAAAATTCGAAATATTAAAAAATTCTTGCTTTATTCTTTAGCGATTATTTCTAAAAGTTTTGAAAAAAAAAATGTATTTTATTCAAAAAAAGAAAAAAAATTGCTATTAAGTATAGATGTAATTCCAACAGAAGGCATATAATCCCGTCAATTTTAACTAATACTGGCGAGCTTCTCACATCACAATGTCAGACAGCATGCTGAGAAATAGAAAGTCGAAGTTATCATTAAATAAATTAATAACTTCTCTTTTTTTTTTGTGAAATCGTAATTTTATATCATTAGATGATAGCTGCGGCCGGATGGCCGAGCGGTCAAGGTGGCAGCCTACCGCTTCGACTGAAATAATTAAATCCTAAATATGCGGCCGGATGGCCGAGCGGTCAAGGTGGCAGCCTACTGCTCTGGGGGACCCGGGCTCGAATCCGAACGGGTGGAAAAATCCCCAGGAATTTTTCGGGTGGTGGTCCGTTCAGATACGTCGGGCCCCGTCCTTCACCACCCGGCAGCCCCATTGTGGGCCTGGCCGAACCCATAATGGGCTTGCAAAAAGAGGCCCTCTTAGTGTCCACAAGGCGGAAAGAGTTAAAAAAAAATTAGATGATAGCTTCTCTTACTCTGGCAGGAATACGCTTTGTTCTCAAGTCAACATCACAGAGTCACTACGAAATAGTTAACGCAATGTTTTAATCGGTTTTATTTTCTATTGCTAATTCAAATTGACAATTAAACTGCAGACCAAATCCATCCACAATGTTATAAGTAAATTAATGATTGTAATTTGTTCAATGTCAAAAGCGAGAAAAGATTAGTCCTGTCCTATCTGTTTTCGTTCTTAATGATTCCAAATTAAAGAAGAATTTAGGGATAAATTTTTGCAAAAATTATTTTCAATAAGCTTCATACTTAAAACGATCTATTTCATAATAATCAAGAGATCTAATTGGCTATTCCATGCAAAATAAAATTATGAGTTGCAAACGAAATAAGCCTACAAGAATATGTGCAACTTCTGCGAATTAATTAAGTTCGATAATCTCGATTCCTCTAATTCAGCGATTCCCAACCTTTTATGACTTGCGTATCCCTTGGCAGGGCAGGTCATTTTTCTAAGTTTTATTTTGCGTCTTCTTCAAACAGTGGCGCCTAGGTCAATTATACAGCTCTATACAATTGCATGTATAAAGGTTTATTTTTTTTTAAATAGAAAAATGTTGGAGGAAAGAGATAGAAAAATACAAAAAATATATAATCATATTTTTATTTAAAACTAAGCATGGAGTGCCATGACGTCGCCAAAGGCGTCAACGCAGAATCCCAATATTCTTATACTGTAGTACATCCGCCATTATTCATTTTTTTCGCGTACCCCTAAACCACCAAGCGCGTATCCCCGGTTGGGAATCGTTGCTCTAATTCTACTTCCCGATGTAATTTCTGATAGATGAGTCAATTTTCCACTTTTTAGCCCAAGTAACATAACTAAATAAATAGACTAACCAGTCTGAATGAAACGACGAGAACAAAACACGAAATAAAGGGAGCGAAGAATGAGAATTGCAAAAAATAAAATATAGATAAAATTTTAAACGCAGTCTCCATGCCAGTCTTCAATCAGCCGTCAAATAGTCAAATTATTACCATACTGCAGTACTGGAAATAATTTGATGTATACTGATCCTCTTAATTTTTTTCGTGATTCCTAAGTTAATCTTCAATCCAATATATTATCGTTTCTTTAGGTAAGTCCGATTCCAGTTACTTTTGGACGAACTTAGCTTTTCTATCTGTCGAGTTATTGGTGATAGGATGGTTATAAGCCAAACCAACTTATTACCAATAAATATAAGAATTCGAAAATTACTATTTTGCCGAGGCGTCAGCCTATCGTTTTGAGGACCTAAGAACTAATGGGCTGTAACGCATAATAACCCATTTTATGCTCACGGGATTGAAAGCTTTCGCCAAATCACCAGATTAAATATAAAATTATCAGATCTGGTAAAACTTTACTTGACCTGAAGAAAGTAAGCTCTTGAAAAATTATTGTTTGTACATAAAAGTAGTAACATTTTCATACTGAAACAAAGTACAGTATATATTAACCTATTTTTATTTATTTTTTGCGTTCATTTCCTCAACTATGAAAAATCAATTACCATAAGCTACTGAAGATGTATTTTTTTCTGAAATCGTGATATTATTTCAACAGTTTTTTTTAATAAAATAATAAATGAATCAGTATAAATAATTTCAACGGAAATCAAAGTGGTAAATTAAAAAAAGTTTAATTGAGTAATTAAAGCGGCGTTGAGTAATTTAAAATTTTGTCATCTTAAATAAATAAAAATATATTTAATAATATTTGAGGAATAATTTACAAACATAAATTATCAAACATAATTTAATATTGATAAATACTTACGAAGAAAAAAATATAAATTAGATTATGACAATTGAAATGCATTTGGCGCTTCGAGCGATTTTAAAAAGTAACGACGAACGACGATTATGTTTATATAAAATTCAAAATTTCGCGTGATATAAATAATTTTTTAACGTTTAACTTGTACATAAACATATGATTAAAAAATAAAATTCGTTTAAGTATAATTTTTCTTTATAAATATAATAAAATTTTAAATTAAGAAATTATAAAAATTTACGTCGTTATAAGTTATTTACCGATAGAGTGTAGCAGTGTTAAGAGGAGCGGTCGCCATTTTAAAGAGGCGTGTGTAAATTAACACGTGTGAAAGTTATAAAAGAATGTCATACAGAAATAAAGAGTGCAGAATTTACGTAGGAAATCTACCGCCGGATATACGCATTAGCGATGTCGAAGACTTGTTTTATAAATTTGGTAAAATTTCTTATATCGACTTGAAAAACAGAAGAGGACCCCCGTTCGCTTTTATAGAATTCGAAGATCCTCGCGACGCCGAAGATGCTGTTCAAGCCAGAGACGGATACGATTACGACGGTTATAGATTAAGAGTGGAATTTCCCAGAGGAAGTCCCAGAAGAGGAAGTTCTACCGGTAGGTACGGAGGTCAAGGTTCAAGAGGAAGGGGAAGAGGACCACCCGCTAGAAGATCCCAGTATAGCGTGTTAGTGTCGGGATTGCCTCCAACCGGTAGTTGGCAGGATTTAAAGGATCATATGAGAGAAGCCGGAGACGTTTGTTACGCCGACGTGTACAAAGACGGAACTGGAGTAGTCGAATTCGAAAGATACGAAGACATGAAATACGCTGTGAAAAACTTAGACGATTCGCGATTTCGTTCTCACGAAGGGGAAGTGTCATACGTGAGGATAAGAGAAGAATATGACGGCCGTTCCAGATCGAGAAGTTATTCACCTAGTCGAACCCGAACCTCGCCTACGTATTCTCCTACATTTCGCTCAAGATCGGGATCGCATTCGCGTTTTCCTGTAAAATCGGACGCCGGACTTCTGGATTAGTATGAGATCGGTACGGACTATTTCATGTTAAGTTTATAACATTTCGAACGTTGAAAGCATTTATCATCATTTAATTTCATGTCATTGAATTATAAAACATTAATAAAATCATAAATATTTTGTGTAACGTATAAATGATATTCTCTAAAAACCCTGTAGCCATTTAAAGTTTTATTTTTGTTCTTATTATTTTGACGTTAAACAAGGATTATGTTTCTTATTTTCATTTTTTATTTCGTTAAAGAACTATGTATATTATCCAATGTATATCTGGAACAACTGTAATATAAAAAGTTCGCAATTTCAATATTATGTTTAGAATTATTAAAATTTTGTTCATAGACTTCGAAACGCGGTGCTAACAAATTTCACCTACCAATGGCCGAGTGGATAAAGCCACTGGTGGGTTCGCGCCTCGCCAACGGGCTGGCAAAGTGGAGTTTTTCGAGTTTTCTTCGCGTTTGTGCCGCCTAAATAGAATTTTCCCATAGACCTCCCGGGAGGAATCACTAGTCCGCCTGTCGCGTTGCCTAAACCAACTAACAAATTTCTATAATCGTGTAAAAATAAAATTGATAGTATTAGGTTAGTTAATGGATTCGCCAACGTTTAGTTGTAGCTATGGATCTGTAGCATAAATTTGTTTTTATCAAAAAATAGCACGGAATGAGTAATGCGCTGCAAGAGGCCAGTCTCTGAATACAATAATAATAAATAATACATTTTTTCGGACTGGAAATGCAATCGATTGTAGTTATTTGATCATATTAGTTTTTCGTAATATGATCAAATAACTAGTAATATAATTAGTAATTATATATATATATATAATTATATCAAATATTAATTTTAAAAGTTTTGGAATATTAGTTATTAGATTAGAATCCGATAGAATTAAAGTTATACCCAATATTAAAACCTAACATTAAGGCATCAATTCACATTATAAAAAAGTCAATATAGGCCAACAGTATTTATTAATTCTAAACTAATCACAAAATTTTATTAGCAGGTGTATTTGAATACAGCTGCTAATAAAACTTGTGATTAAGTAACATCTGCTAACTAAATGAAAATTTTGGAGTAAAATTTAAATTTTAAAAACACTTCAAATCTTTTTAATAATGAAATAAATTAGAAAAAAATAACTACAACACAGACTTAATACTTTATGTAAATTTATTAGCATTAAATTTTAAAATAAAAATTACAATTATTAAAACATATATTACACATAAAATTACTATTGATAAACTAATTATTAAAGCAATAGATACTTATAAAATACTTTTATTGAAGTGAATCATATAGTTAATCTGATATATCAAGAATGGTGAAATCACAATACGAATTTGGATGACGCAAAGAAAGATATTTTTTCTCCGTGTTCATTTCATAGGTAGAAAACTAGTCTTTAATTTTTGCGACTTTCTAATGAAATATGAGGAACAGTACATTAAACAAACATTACATTTTTCAGTTAATTTTGAAAACATATTTATACCAGACAGTGGCGTATCCAGGATTTTGATAATATGGGTGCTACTCAAGACAGATTCTGGGAGTATCAAGGCAAATGCTGCCTGTTGTTTTTGGAGAATTTTATTCAATTATTTTAGAATTCTAAGATAATTGAAACCTTAGTTATCTAATTTTTTCATTAGCTTTTTAAAATGGTTAAAGATGGAAAATGAATAACTGATTATTTTGAATTGGTTACAAATTATTCAAATTACACTATGATTCCAAAAGGAGGAGTAAAAGGGTATAAAATCATTACATTTTTTATTTTCACTAGAAATGATCGAAATTACAATTATTTTTAATTTGTGCTCCACACTTTTCGGCATATGTTTCCGAGAAATATGTTAAAATTTTTCTGTCTTTTTCCTGTTTATGTAGACAATACATATATAATACAATATACAATACATATACAATAAATATTCAAAATGAAAGTATTTTACACATACACTAAATATACATATAACATATTTTCTAATTGCAAGATTGAAAAAGTGAAAGACTAGTTTAATGATATTAGGGATGAAATATAATTTTAAAATTAAATTGTTGCATCATTATTTCCAATAACTTCATTTTAAAATTCGATTGAATCCATTATCAGATGTATCTACTCAATGAAAAGTTACTTTATGACATTGTCACATCTAAATTATGTACAAAGGTATTCGTTAAATCTTTAAAAAACAATAAAATTTAAATAACATTATTTACACTGGTGAATAATTGAATGACTTGCAACTTTTTTTACTTACTGTTAGATTTAAGCTTCTATATAACAAATACATAATATCAGCTGATTATTTATTATTATTATTTATACTTTTCCTCTATATAACAGCCGGGAAAGTTATCAGTATCAGTACATTATCAGTAATTAACTCCATATACAGTAATTTTTAAAATATTTCTTCATCCTGTTCTCGATTGTTTTACATTTATACATAACATTTAAATATATATTCTATATTTATATTCAAAGAAACTCCGTAGTATTAATTTAATTTGGAGCTATTGTCGTCATATTGGCACTAATATGATTTGATGAAGGTTTACATCCTTGAGTACCTTGGTTGATATCTCTCATTTGCAACAAAACGTTATAGGCATTATACAATGCATTATATAGCTGTAAAGACATTTTTACTATTATGATTTGATGTATAAATCATACTTAAACGAAATATTTAAAATTATAATTTAAATTACCTCAATGGGAAATTCTCTGGATATAATAAAGAAATCTTCACAACTAAAACCGATGATGCTTTCAAATCTTTTCATGAAATCTAAAACCTCAGAATGATAAAAAGTTACTTAATTACTAAAATTTTTAAATTTAATATTTATTGTATTCGGTAATTACCTTTAATTTATCTTCTAAGTTGAAAGAATTTATCTTGAATTTTCTTATTTCTTGAAACGAGTCATAGGCCTAAAAAATAAAATTGTTTCTGTCAATCATGTTGATTAAAAATAAAAAAAATATATAGAGCTAAAACTTACAGAAACCAAAATTCTAGAAATTAGAAAGGCAACGGAACATAATCCGAAAGAGGCAACGAATATTAAGAGTATTAGAGCATAAAAAGTTAAATAAATGGGAGAAACAGTTTTATATACCAAATTATATAAGAAAGTTGCAAATATAGCAACAGTTCCACTATATGCCACAAGAAATACGATAGAAAAATTATCGTTTAAGTGTCCTATAAAATCGTATAATTCAGTATGTTTACATATGAAATTATCTATATTACCCTTACGAAAATTGACTTCAGCCAAATAAAGTTCAGCAGATAAATGTTCAAATCTTTCTCTCATCAAGAATCCAACTAAAACCAAAATCAGAACAACAAAAATTATCGTAGATGTTTCGAATATGGCTGCTGTGTTCATAAACACGGTACATACTAAAGCTCTTGAAAAGCTGTCATATTTTTCGATTATATTAGAAAGAGTAATCGACAATGATATCGTTTCTATAAGTAACGCCCCAAAACAAATAACACCAGCAAAAGCTAAACAATAATTTTGAAATCGCAACAATTTCTTCTTTTCTTCTTCATAGCCAGATAGAGAAAGAGAGGAAATGGATACATTTACAAATCTCAAAACGTGGCATAATAAAAATAATACTGCCGGAAAAAGTGTAAATAAGATTGTGATAAACGGTAAATCGAAATCTCCGACAGATTTCTGAATCGAACTGCAAAGAAAAGTTTCGTTAATTCCAAATATATACTGACTAGCGGTAAGAAAGGCGTGAAAAATATAAATGCCTTCGAGAAAGTAAGAATAAACACATAAATATGATTTTAGTTTTAGATTTTGCTGTCTATGATTACAAGGTTCGAAAATTCTCAATCCTACCGTTTTTAAAATGCTAAACGAAGGAAAATACAAACAATAAATGCATAAATTTGATTCTTCCATTTTCTCTTCTTTCTTCAAGTTTCTTCAATTTAGAACGGTAATTAGGAGTATGCGGTAATTAAAAAATTAGCGTATATGTACTTTTATAAAATTAGAATTTATATAAATTCTAATTGTTCGAAAATAGCCTCTCATTTCCAATGAGAGATGTAAACTGTTCCTTTAACATACTCTATCTAATCGTTAAAATTATTAAACATTAAGCTCTGCACTGTTCAAATAATATATTTTGCCGATTACTGTTTGCAAATGTTTTCGAAACATGCAATGTATGTAGATTTATCAAACGATATATTTCAAATACTGTATTATAATTGAATAAACATTTGATAGGAATCTCAGAAATTTTAAGGATTAACTTTTATAGATATATTCTCTACACAATAAATAAAATGTCAGTTTTATTTAGTTAATCGCTAAAAATATTTTAAACAATGAATTTTTCGATTCAAGAAAATTTAAAGAATTTACTATCATTTTAAATCGAACATTTCGAGTATTTCTCTTAACATATTTTGAAACATTATACTATTGTCTACTACATCCGCATTATATTCGATAAAAGTCGAATAAATTTCTCGATAAATTTTATTTAATGATTTATAAATTCAATAATTTTGTTGGCTAAATAACTTTCCGAAGTACTTTGATATTATTTGCATCGTTACGTAAACGTATCGTTGGATAAAATTATTTTATTTCAACGATATATTACTTTCTAATGATGTCGAAATTCGTGCTTCGTCCTTTCATTCTCGTATACTGTATTTTTTTTTTCTTTTGTTCGTTTGTTTTATATAATTTATCGTTCTTTTGTATCTTTTCTATAATACAAAAATTTTTCCTATTTGAATTTTCGAATTAAATAAAAACAAGGCATGCATCTATGTACTGTACCTATAAACTTGAATAATTAGAAAGTAGTGAATCATTTATTATCGAAATGACTTTTGAATAAGTCATAAATAATAAGACCGTAAAATAATAATATTATTAATTTCTATTCAAGATGAATAAAGTATGAACTTTTTAAAGTTTATTTTGAATTTTACTTTTTTATTTTTACAGAAAGACAAAACGGTTTAATATATAAATATTGATGATTATTCACATATGGTAAACATTATAATTACAGTAGACAATTATATTTATACAGTAGATTTTCAATAAGTCGAAGTTTCTTACTCGAATTTTATTATCGTTCCGAATTAACTCCCATCAAGTCAATCCAGTCTCTATTTTTATTTATCAAAGTAGGTTTGAGATCGCATTTCATTAACTCGAAATTTAAGATCCAGGGATTTTATTTCACGTATTATTTCGTGTGCTTTCTTGAGCGTTTTCAAGGAGTTAGACTATATTATCACGAAATTGAAGATTGGCACCATATAGAATTACGTCTTATTAACAGGAAATAAAAATCAAAATTTTTATTGATGTTTTGAACCTAAGGTAACGATCTTATTCTTAAATGTAAATTGAGTAATCAAATTCTAGTGCTTTAAAATTGCCATTTTAAAACTTTTTAGGTTTTTAAAAATTTAAGCATTTAACGATTTATAAATGTGACTAATACGGCCGCGATTTAGGCTAACAATTTACTGAGTTATATTAAATTTATGAGCTTGTCTATATTTAGAAATAAACATTCATCCTGTATAAATTTCATGGTAAAGTTTGAATCGCACGTTAACATTTTCGTTGCTGATAATGATCAAGTTGATCAATAAATTGATCATTTTAACTGCGAAGTAGATAGAAATATCAAAATAAAAACCAACAAAAAAAAAACGTTTAGACCTAACTCGTCTTTTGGAAGAGACAGGACAGGTAATGAAAAACTGCATCATTATTAATTAATTAAAAAATCATTAAAGCTTTGGTGTTTCTGCAATACTTATTAGAAATACAGCAAATAAGATAGCATGGATAATGTCTGAGTTTTTATCTAAATGGCAGGAAAAGTTAGACATCCACACGATCGACGAAAACTTATTATTTTTCGAATAAATTGGAATTTCTATCAGAAACCGTCCACTATATCGATAACTGGCCGATCTCATTACAATGCATGACGAAAAAGAGTCGAAGATTTTGTCAGCGTTGACAATGACTTAGCTGTCTCCTGACACTTATCTGAAAAATATCATCATTGTTGAAGTAAAGAATCAGGCACATAATGTAAGTGTTGAACACGAAGAAGAAGTAAATCTTGTCAAGAATAAATGTTCCGCTTCTTCTACATGTAGAGAAGCCAAAAATGCTCTTGAGCTTTTAAGAAGCTTTCTAGAAACTATAACATTCGGACGGCTGAACGGTTGAAGCGTCAGCTTACAGCCCTGGAAACACGGTATCGAATCCAAAAGGAAAGAAAAAAATCTAAAAAATTTTCCGGGGGCGGTTATCCCGAATATGTTGAACCCATCCCTTACCAATCAGTCGCTTCATGGAGGTTTGGCCGAACGATGACTGCAAAAAAGCCTACAGACAAGGGGGGAACAAGAAATAAATTAATACCAAATTTTACTTTGTATTTCTCGTATTTTGTTTCGAATTATGACATATTTGAAGGTTTCCAAAGTATTGTACGTAAACAATATCTAATTATTGTAGTTTCCAATTTCGTCTTTGAAATATCATATTAACTTCGAAATTTATACCAAATGATCGCTTTTTCTATTCTATACAACGATAGAGATGTTAAAATGGAATTAAAAATAATTCAATTATAACTTTACTTTCTCAGCGGTTACAGAATGTAACACGGTATGATGATCGGTCAAATTTTGACCTGGAGTTTTTTAGTTTGGTTGTTTTTGCATTTTTCGACTCCACTCCATGAGCACAAAAATTAAAAAAAAAATTCTCTTACAAAATTCTATGAGTGTGTGCCAATATCCATTTTGCATTATATATCACTTGTCAGTACTAGATAAACCAAAAATTTCGAAACTTGGCAGAACTGTTTCTATATGTAGGACATTCTATTACATTTTGGTGTTTTTCTTTTTACTCTTTCTGCCCTGTGGGCACTATAAGGGCCTCTTTTAGAAAGATCATTATGGGTTCGGCCAGGCCCACAATGGGGCAGCCGGGTGGTGAGAAACAGGGCCCGACATATCCAGATGGACCATCCTCTGAAAAATTACTGAGAATTTTTCGACCCGTCCGAATTCGATCCCGAGTCCCCCAGAGCGGCAGACTGCCACTTTGACCGCTAGGTCCGTAATTGGCTTATGTTTATGACGTCAAGAAGTTATAAGCAGTAGAGTGGAAAATCTAGTTCTGATTCATGAACTAGAACTGTTGGAACTGATCCGGCGGAACGGTTCCTCTGAACTGTTTAAACTGTTGGACTATACGCAGTTATATTTATAGATTATTAATATAATAAGCAAAGTCTGTTTTTTGTAGCTTCATTTATTGTTTTTCTTTCTCAATAGATGGCAGTACTTCATAACACATTGTAATATCTATTACTGCATTTATGATTACTTTTATTATTATGTTGTTTTTTAACTTTCACAACTATACCGTATCTCACTGAGAACTATTTATTAATTACAACGAACGTTTTCAACTTACTCAACAGGCCATCTTCAGGTTTTTAAAATTTAGAACCTTGGTTCTAGCTGAGTATTAATTTAGTATTATGTTATTATTAATATTAATAGTAATATTCTTACATTATTTATTGATGTCATTAATTACAATATACAAAATCTGATTGTTGACAGATGGCGCTACTTCATACCATTCGACACTCATCGACAACCCCACTTATTACCTGTCAAGAGGCCTTCATCGAACATCTTACGGAATACAAAAAATTTACAATTACCAGATGCCGCCATCACAATGTCATCTCCGGAACACGCCATGTAGCTGATGTCCAACCAGTGGTAGAAGAGTTCTCATCGCCATTTTACTCTTCCGGCTGTTATATATATATGACAAGGGAAAGTGATGGAATCATGTCAAATTTAACCCTCTGATTTTTTTTTACAAATCTGTTCGTTTTGAGATCCCCTGAATCCTAAAAGTCAAAAAACGGAAAAAAGTTCCGTGGATGTGTTGTGTGTGTGTTGCAGGGGCGTGCCGTGACATTTGATGATAGGGAAGCTGTGTTTCTATAAGAAGCCGACATCCAGGGGCAATCAGTTAATTATTTTTTTAAATGTATTTTTAATAGATTATTTATCTGACGTACTTAATAAGCAAGTTCATTATAATTATCTCTGTTATTAGATCCAATATATTCATGGGCGTAGCGAGGGGGGAGCCTGGGTGGGCACGGCCCCTCCCAGGGAACCTGGTGCCCCCCCAGGAAATCACAGCCGAAAAAGTGTTGAGTCGATTTGTAAACACCTAAAGCTAAAATAAAAGTTTTGAATACTAAAAAAAAGGTGAACGGCTTGCTCGGTGCCCAATAATGAACAATAATTTGAAATAATTCAGTTTTG